AGGTGTGCACACTAGAGATGCCGCAAATAAATAAATAAATAAAAAATTCAGAAAATAAATAAGTAAATAAGTGTGTGAGGAGGTGGGGAGAAATGGGTTATCTGATTTTTCAAAAATTTTGGCAGCATTTCGTTACCCCCATGGGGTCGAAGTGTGCCGAAAACACTAAGTAAGAGAAAATCAGAAAATTTCGGCAGCACTTCGTTACCCCCACGGGGTCAAAACGTGTGTCGAAAGCAAGAAAGGCTAACACCTAATCAGATTTAGAGTTGCCGCCAAGAATTTTTAGAATAAGTAAAAATAAATAAAATTAATCAAAAAAATAAGAAAAGAGGGTGGGGAAGAAGATGAGAAAACTAACAACTAATCAGATTTCGGGTTGCCGTAGAGAAAATCAAAAATTTCAGAATAAATAGAAAAATAAATTAAATAAATCAGAAAATGGGAAAAGAAGGTAAGAAAGAAGATATTTCGAATTTTTGAAAAAAAGAGAAGATAAATCAAAAGAGAGGTGGAAAGAAGAAAAACCGAGAAGTTTTCGAAGAAGGGGGGAAGGGGAATGAAAAGTGAGGGAGAAAAGAAAGAAATAGAAGGGGGGAGAGAAAAAGATGAAGTGGGAGGTAGAGGGATGGGGTGGTGGTAGTTGGGGGAGAGGAGGGATGGGGAAAGGTGCACAGGGATCGAGAAGCAAAGAGAAAAGAAGGAGGAAAAAAATAAAGAAATAAAAGAAGGAGAGTAAAAGAATGGGTGTTGGGAGAAAGGTGGGGTGGGGAAGATAAGAGGAGGAGAGAAAAGATGCAGTGAAAGGTGGGGGAAAGAGAAGGGGTGAGTAAGAGGAGAATGGAGAGGTAGGGAGAGTGGGTTAGTAGAGGGAGAGTGGAGAAGGGAGTGATACCTGGCCCTTGGGATCTCCAAGGGCATAATGTACACCAAGACCAGGAGGGTCTTGGTCTTTGCTGCAGCAGCCAGTTGGAGGAGAGAGGGGGCTGAGATCTTGATCAGCCCCCAGCAGAACTTCTGCAGATGTGTAGATGTAGGGTCTGCTGTGTGAGCAGGCCCTCTCCACTGTAGAGCACCCCCCTAAGCAGGGGGGTCTTCAGCCACGTGCACAGGCAGCAACAGCCACAGGGGGGGGGGGC